ACTCCACGCTGGAAGGTGACACATTCCTAGGAGGCCTCTTGGACTTTAGTGACCCTAAGACTACGTGGAAGCTGACAACAGACCAGGGCTTAGGCAGCGGTGGGAAGAAGCTGGGCTGAGCTGGGCCCCACCCAGTGCGGAAGGGCAGGAGGAGAGCCAGAAGCTATGGGAGAAATGTGGCCTAAGGGAGCCCCTGAGCCAGGACTGATGYCCCAGAGGTCCTGCTGGCAGATCTGGTTCTGAGCCAGGCTAGGGGAAMAAGGTCCTCATCTTTTCTATCTGCCCCAGGAGAGACAGCCCCCTACCCCCACAGCTGCCACCAACCCTGACTCCATCTCAGAGGACCACACTCTGGACAGAGCCCATGCAGGGCTGGAGACAGCGCAGGGAGCTAAGATCTAGGTCTGTTGTCCAGGTCCTTCAAGGAGGAGGTGCCACAACAGCCTTTGGGCAGGCAGGTGGAGTGGGCAGGTCCCTGTACTGAGCGGGGTAAATTGTATAAGTTCACTTCATGCCCCACCACTGCCAAGCTGTGCCACCTTGGCCTACTTATTCAAAGTCCTGAGCCTCGGTTGTTCAGTATATTAAATGAGATGGTGCTTGTGAAGTGGGTGCTGGTTGGTAGAGAGAAAGCGCTGACAGCTAGTTGTTATTATTAATAATAATATTGTTTTCCTGATTTGGACCAAAGGGGGAGTGCATTGGAAGGTTCACTCCTCTAAAGAGAGTGGCAGAGCGAGACCTCACCCTCCAAAGGTCATCAGGTGGGCTAGAGGCAGGATGATGAAGAGCAGGGCCATCCTGACATCCCGAGGCCTGATTGCTGCCCACTGCACCTCCAGCCACACGCCCCGGGCAGGAGCATTCAGTTTGTGAAGAATTGCAGCAACTGAGGCTTGAGGACCCTCCCATCCAAGATAGAGGTGCCGCTGCTGCTGCTAGGAGGTCTTTTACGTGGATCTCTTGCAATTTTTCTGCACAATCACAGAAAGACATCTGGCAGCAATCTTGGCCTTGAGCTCCTCGGCATTCTTCTTCATCTGAAAGCACGGGCCTTTGTGTTAGTGCTCATCCACCCCCCCACCCCCGTGATTGTGTGATGACACTCATCGTATTGCATTGCCGGCTGCTGCCCACAAGTGGAGGCTGGGGCACATAGGTGGGCTCTGATTATTTGTAAACCAAGAGCAACAAGAGTAGACCACGAATGTGCCAAGTCTGATTTACTACATCTTCAATTTTTTTTTCTTTTTAATATTCTAGAAACGGCTTGGTGTCTCATGGGGTTGAAAAGAGCTAAAAGGCCCCTGATGRCAGTGTTCCTTCTGCCGGGTCCCCATTCCCCTGCGGTGCTCTGTACATTACCATGGTTGCCTCTCATGTCTGGGAGCTCACTCCCTCCTGGAGCAGCCTCRGCTCTGTCAGTAGTTGTTGAGTTCACACTCTGGAGTCGGGCTCCCACACTTTGTGTATGGGCTCCACCACAGACCATCTGTGTGGCCTTGGGCAAGTCTCACAACCTTTCTGAATTCAGTTGCCTCCATGAGATATAATCATAGTACCTTCCTCCTAGGTTGTGAGATTCAGTGAGATAATCTGTGTAATGCTTACAACAACACCTGGTGCATGGTAGGTACTCATTAAATGTTAGCTGTGTTTTACCCCTAAAAGGCTTCCTATAACATTAACCTAATGGACCGAGGCCTGAGGCTGAATCAGGCACAGTCCAGCCTGGAGTAGGTACAAAGATCAGTGCTCAGAACCCCCRTTCCTCCCCCTGTGCAAGAGTTGAGGAGGGCAATGAATCATGAAAGACACCTCAGCCGCGGTCTGACCTCCTGGACCCAGAGTCCAAGCAGCAGGTGCCACCAGTGTGGGACAGGTCCACAGGTGCTTCTGTCTCACCTTTTGCCCAGGTGAACCCACACTAGGAATGTCTGTCTGGCTGGGGGTGTTCAGGGGCACCTGCCAGGATATGGACAGATTCTCAGAAGTGTGCCCATCTCTGAATCATCTGTGGGCACAAAACTTGGGCCCAGAGCTAGGGGACTGGCTCGGCTRGATGTGCATCCACACCATGGGACAGGGGCCTGCTGCCTCCCAGCATGCTGTGGTGACACTAGGAATGCTCATGTTTACTTCCCAGTGTCTGTGACCATGTTTGTGTCCATCCAGAGATGATATGCGTTGGTGGTGGGAAGAAAAGGAGAGCCCCGTGCCATGCCCGGGCTGCTGGTGGACAGAACAGGCAGGCCTGGGCCTGTGAGTCAGTCCATCAGGCACCACCCAGGGCTGGTATCTTTTGGGGACTAAAGTCCCTCTCTGAGCTTTAGTGTGCTTGTCTTGTCTGTGCTTAGATGGTCCTCATGGCTGGGGCAGCAATGAGACTGACTGACAGTTGGGCATTATATACAGTCACCTCTTGTCACCTGGGAATGCAGCAGGGCCCAGTCCAGAGGTCAGAATCGGGAGCAGGCAGCCCAGGCCCAGTCAGGGACAGGCTCTGCTAGGGGCCCTCAAGTCACTTGAATATGTGTCCCCATGTCTGCTTTAGGCCACCCCTCCTCCTTCCAGGGCAGAACTAAGGAGGGAGAGCTCTTGTTGTCACAAGAAGAATCTGTGTGGGGTACGGGGAAGACTCTCAGCAGAGAGGTCTGTGGAGGGCTTCTGGCTGACAGGGCAGAATCAGGCTGCACAGCCCAGCCTGGCAGCAGGGACACGGATCCCAGGGGCCCCTGCACTAGCCTCCCCTGGACCCAAGCAGAAGTGGAGAYGGTCATCCCAGCTCCAGAGGAGCATCTCAGCTGGTCAAGCCCCTCCTTTTCTCCACCTGCCACCAGCTTCTCTCTGGACCCTGGGCCAAGAACAGTCTCCTCTTTCCCAGGGAGGCATGAGAGGTAGGCAGCTTAAGTTTGCCATCAAGAGGTTACCACTGAGGCCCAGATTGGACCCATTGAAGGGCACAGGACCCACTGAAAGAGATCAGGTCCCAGGCCTCATTCTGCATCCTGCTAAATGGGGCAACTGGTTCTCCATCCAACTCAGCACCAACCAGCAGGGCCTCTCTGCCCACATCTTCTGACTTCCCTGGGCTCAGTGGCCCTGAGATCTGATACCCACTATATCAGATCTTTACCAAGGTAAGGAACAGGCTGGGACAGAAGAGGACAGTGGGCACAGCAGTCCCTCTGCCTTCCCTAATACTCAGATCCCTCAGYGACCTCTAATCACCTTCTTTCCCTCCCCACTCTGTCCCCAAGTTCTGCTCAGATCTGTGGGTGACCACTAAGTCACTCAGGGTCTCATCTCTCCAGATCACCTAGGACCAGCCAGACTGAAGTCATGTTGGAAGAAAGACTTGGCTTCTAGTTCCCTGTCCTGCCACTGCTAGGCCAGGTGCCTATGCGTGGGTCTATACCCCTTTGAGCCTTAGGTTTCTTACCTACAAAATGGAGTCAAGGGGCTGGGGCTGGGGCTCAGCAGTACAGYGCTCACCTAGAACGAAYGTACGAGGCCCTGGGTTCGATCCTCAGCACCACATAAAAATAAGTAAATAAAAAAAAAGATATTGTGTCCAACTACAACTAAAAAATAAATGTAAAAAAAAAACAACAAATGAAAATAAATAAAATGGAGTCAATGCCTAATTATCAGGATTCTGAATATTTGCATGGTAGCAGAATACAGAGTCTTAAATAAATGAATCTCTCCTAGCAGAATTTCAAGTTGCAGCCATAGGTAAAGGGTTCTGAGGGTAGGACGGGCCAGTTCCTCAGGCCTCTGATTTTGCTCTATGGGGCAAATTACTTCCTCCTCAGAGGATGGCTGCCTATCTAAAGCAGGCCCTATTTCTACTCTATGCCTCCTGCCTTCAGACTGGACTGTCTGGGGAAGGACGMAGTGTTTGGGAGGGAGGACAGAGGTTTGCGGAGCCCCCTCCACAGACCAGCTGCTTTGCACGTGCTCATTAGCTTCTCTTCACAACTCTGGGAAATCCAGATTCTATCCCTGTTTTACAGAGTAGAAAACTGGGATTTCGAGATGTTAGATCTAGCACTGGGTTATATAAGTCAGTGCCCAAGGCATCATTTAAACCTGGAATTTTTTGGCTCCAAAGACCTAGCATCCAGAAGACAATGTCCCCTGATGCTGTCATCCTGGCCACAGCCCTGAAACATGAGTCCTCTCCTGGACAGCTCCAKAGAGCCCTCCGTGCCCTCCCTTTCCCTTGCTAATGGGGCTCCCCATCCCTTATTCCTCCCAGATGCCACATGGCCAGGGGACTCARGAGCCTGAAGCCCAGGGGAGAGCATTGGTCCCAGCTGCCTGGCTTGGAAGGGCCCCAGCCATGATTGCTGTTTCGGTCCCAGGGGGTGTTACCAGTGGGTCCAGAGGGCAAGGTGAGGAGCATGGGAGGAGGGAGGGGCAGAGGCCTTGGGCTCAGGGCAGGCTTTGGCCCTCTCCCACCAACTCCTGCTCGGGCTCAGCCATGGAGGCTGCTGGGAGAACAGCAAGAGGTGGAAGCCCCTTGGGGAGGTGCTGGGCTGGGGGCTGGGGAACTCAGCCTCCCACACAGGCCCTGCCACTTGCTCTTCGGCGTCTTCCCTTCAGACACCGCCATCCCAACCCATTTGGCTCCCAAGTCCAAAGAAGCAACCCCCATCGCGCCCCCACACCCCGCTCCAGCTGTTGTCAGGACTTGGAGGAGGGAGGGATAGAGTGAAGGGTTGAGATGGCCCCAACGCCCCTGGCTTGTCCCCTTAACCTTAGCTCTGTCCCTTCTGCCCAGCCTCTCCCTGGGGAGTTAGCCTGTGGGAGGGAATGAGGTCTCCCCAGGCCCACCTGGGGCTGAGCAGGCTTGCTGCTGTGTGACAGAACAGCATGGGTGCAACCTCCAAGGGATTTCTCAACTCTCCTGGCAGCTGGCTGCAGCTGGCCTCCCTGCCTCAGGCCCTGGTCAGCAGGTGACCTTTGCCCAGCTCATTAGGCCCTCGGTGACTGCTCACCTGTCCTGACAATATAAAACAGGTCAGAACCCTCTCGCTTGTCTGCTCAGTTCATCCCTAGAAGCAGCTCCTCCAGGTAATACCTCTGGGGAGGAGGCCAGGGCGGGAAGAGGATAGAGAGGGCTGGAGGAGGCTCCATGCCCCCAGCATTGGCCTGGAGAGCAGCCTGCCAGAGCCTGGGAAGCCTCAGGGGTCCAGGAGTCCCCTACCCTCGTTGTGCCTTCGGGAAGACGGAGGCTCAGAAAGGGGAGGTCACTTGCCCAAAGCCTCTCACAGGGTGGTGGCAGAGCTGCAGCTGGAGCTGGCTACCAGTCTGCACACTTGTCCCTCACTTTGCACACTTAGGCCTGGAAGAAACCTTTCCCTACCAGTCCTCCCCAGACAGGAAGTCTGAGGCCTGCAGCGGGACAGCAATCTTCCCCTAGTCACTCAGCATATTAGCAGTCAGGCCCCAGGTGTCCTGATCMCCGTTCTGGAGAGTGGAGTTCTCCAGCATCCCACCAGCTGTCCCACCCCCCAGGGCCTAGGTCTCCAGAGTCCCACGTCGGAGTCCATATTGGCCCAGGAGTAGGTGCTTCTCCWGCTGACTGGCTCAGGTCACACCTCAGTGGCCATGCCATGTCCAGGGAGGATCCAGAGGTGCCCCTCACAGGATACTTCCCTACAGGAACAGAGGCGCCATGCAGCCCCGGGTGCTCCTTGTTGTGACCCTCTTGGCACTCCTGGCCTCTGCCCGTAAGCACCTTGAGGGGACTGGGCCTGGAGCAGGGTGGGAGGTGGCTTGGGTATCCTGAGCCCTCGTGGGMGGTGAGCACACAGGAGCCAGGAGCCAGCCCTGGAGGCTGAGCTGCCTCTGCCCAGTCCTGTTCTCCCGGCAGGAGCGACTGAAGCCGAGGATGCCTCCCTCCTCAGCTTCATGCAGGGCTACATGGACCGCGCCACCAGGACCGCCCAGGATGCACTGACCAAAGTGCAGGACTCTGAGATGGCCCAGCGGGCCAGGTACACGCACTGGCTCTCCTCCCACCCCTGGCCCTCTCTCCCTCATCCCCACCTGGCCCTGTCCTGGCAGGGGCTCTGGTGATAGTACTGTGGTTCTCCAGCTTTCCTGAGCCTCCACCTCTCTGAGCCTCTCTGACTGAGCCTCCCTGGTCCCTCACAGGGCCTTTGCAGGCGGCTGTGGGAGAGATGACGGGAGTGAGACTCTCTTCCTCTGTCTCCTTTCTTTCTCCCAGTGCAGCCCTAGGYGGCCCATTTTAGCCCTCACGTCTACTTTCCTTTTCTTGATTATCCTTGGGCTAGAGGAAGCTGCACCTGAGCCATCTCCGGCCTGGGGTGTCAGGATGTACTCCTGCTGTTCCAAGCCTTGGGGCCAGTGTCTGTCTGGGAGCAGAAGTCTGCCCTTGTTCTTGCAGTCTGCCCCACCTATGAGTCCTCAGCTCCTCCTCAGTCAGCCTGCACTCTGCTGGCTTTGGCCACATTTGTGTAGCAGAGACATTTGCAAAAGTTCTTAGTCCTCAGCTTCAGCTGTGGAGTGGGTATTAGTCCCCTACTTTGCAGATAAGACAATTTGGGTTCAGAGAGGTTAGGTGACCTGGCCCAAATTACACAGCTAATTAATCCTCCAGTGATTTATCTAATGAGAGGCTGCCTCCTTCTGCCTACCCGCTCAGAGCCACTAGCTTGTATGGGTCCTGGGGACACCATTTGCATGAAATACAACAGCACCCCTGACTTTACACATCTCCCCATCCAAGACTTGTCCCTAGGGTTTGCAATGGGGTGAGGGGCAGCATGCTCCAACCTGGGAAACTGTGGGGTCTGACTTGGGCCTTGCATCTCTTCTTCTTGGGATGGCAACTGTATGTGGTCCCAGGGGTGTTGCTGGGTGAAGGAGAGTAGGTAGCCGGGACAGCCAAAGGGGATGTGTGTGTGTGTGTGTGTGGGGGGGTCCTATAGCCTATGAAAGAGCTCTCAGGTMTCTTTCCTTCGTAATGATTTACCCCTAGGGGCTGGATGAACGGTGGCATTAACTCTTTGAAAGACTACTGGAGCTCATTTACAGACAAGTTCTCCGGGTTCTGGGAGTCCACCCCCGACGCCAGCCCGACTCCGTCCTTTGAGGCCTTCTGAGATCTCCTGCTCCATGCCCGCCTCTTCATCCATCCTGCCAGTTCCCTGGGTTCTGCAGCCTCCTGGGCTGCCCCTGAAGGTTGCTTTAAAGGGGTARTATTCTCCCACCCCCTGGCCCCACSCAGGCATGCCACCTCCCAATAAAGTTGAACTAGACGCTGCCGAGAGTGGGATATCCCTTGTGTGCCATGCATGTTCGGGCATTGGAATGAGTTGGGGCTCTCTTGTGGGTGGGCCTGGGGGCCAGTGCCCCCTGCCCTGAGTTTCTTCACCTGAGAGGTAGGAATAGTCCTACTCACCCTGCCTGGGTCTGCCTGGAAGATGATCTTCCTGTATGGAAGATCAAATAGGAGAATAGAGTTGACAATTCTGTAATCACTGTCAAGTGCTCCACAGCATGACTTGAATGTGTGCTCTATGCCCAGCTGACACTTTTATGTCATCATCAGAGTTGAAATGGTGTGTGTTCCCCAGAATTTGGAGGTGACTTCCACTGTCAGGGCCACCTGGTCTTCTGAAACACACTTAAGGGAAGGAGGTGGGATGSGGGTAGTGGCTGGAGTAAGAAATAACTGGCTCTAGTACTGGCTCCACTACTTCATATCAGCTTCACTTTCTTATCAGTAAAATGGGTACAATAAATACCCCTCCATTGTTGATTTGTTGTGAAAATGAAATGAAACATTGTTTGAAAGCATTTGGCATAGCACCTGCACATCAGAAATGCCTAGTAAATGGTTGTCATTGTTACAGCTGAACTGATTGGCCCCCTAGGACCAGAACCAAGAAGGAACACAAGGTCACYTCCAACAGGGGCTGTTCCTTGTGTCCCCCAGCCCCAACAGATGTTCACATGAGAGAGATCTGGGACCACAGATCAGGCCCCCACTGTACAGATAAAAGGCCAAGGTTCAGAGAGGTAAAGGCACTTGCCCCTTAACAAATGCCAGGGCCAGACCTTGAGCTTGGGCCAGCTGTCCATATTCTGCTCAGTTGGCATAGAGAAAAGCTGTGGTACTCCTCTGCCAGGTATTGCATGGGCTCCTTACAGATCTTGGTGCCATCAATGCAAACAGCTCCAACTAGAGACTGTTTTCTCTCTGGAAATTCACCTGGCTTTCTCTTCTTGCCCAACTATATCCAGGAACCTCAGTGCCTACACCTGAGAAATGTTCCCATCCAAATGCAGCTCCGGATGATTAGAATCTAAAAAGCCCACTCTGTTATCTAAGAATTCATTAAGCTACACTGGTCATGAAGGAATAGAATATCCGGGCACCTGAGCTGGRTGTAGTGGCACATGTCTATAATCCCAGAAACCTGGGGGACTAAGTCAGGAGAATGGCAAGTTCAAGGCCAGCTTGGGCAACTTAGTGAGACTMCTATCTCAAAACAAAAAATAAAAAGGACTGGGGATTAACTCAGTGGTAAAGCACTCCTGGATTCAATCCCCAGTGATGAACAAACAAACAAACAAACAAATAAATAAAATAAAAATAAATCTAGAGGCCTGTACCACAGGGCAAAAGGCCCTGCTGCAGGGGTGAGGGAACAGAGGGGGAGGCTCCAGGGAAGTGCTGCCCGGATCTATGAAAACACATGCATGCCCATGGGGCCATACAGAGATGAGCATGAAGAGGGTGGCGGGATGTCAATGTGAGCATGTGCATGTATGTATACAGACTCATAAGAACTTGAGTGCCTGGCCACAGTGCTTTTTTTTTTTTTCCTTAAATAATCACAGATGCCAATAGGCAGATGGATCTAAAAKGAGCAACCTAGCCCATCCTGCCTCAGTGAGTGACTTCAAAAGTCCAAGCTTCAGYCTCACCATGGTGACATGAATCTAATGACAATCTGTTCAGGATCTGGGAAAGGATGCAATGAGATGATGGAGATGAAGCCATCTTGGGAATAAAAATATGCAAATTACCTGGGAGAGGTGGTGGTTGTTTCTGGCCTGGCCAGAGGGAACAACAGCACCCAGAGCCACAAGGATAGGACAGCTTCCACAGCTGTGTCTGTTTCTGGGAAGGGAAAAGTAGCGGGGAGGGGGGGGGTCCTGCCCTTGCCAAAAAGAAAAGGGAAGTGTTTGCTTAAGAGGTTTTTGAGTAAATAAAAGAGAAAAGGGCTAACTCCAAGCACTTCCTGCCCAAATCCTTCAATGTCTCCTTGAGGTCCACCCCACCAGGCTGAACCACAGAGCTAGAAAAGGCTCTTGCCCTCTGCTCAGGTGAACACCTTTTCAGTCCAGCTCCCACAGGGGAACACCTCTGGGAAGGGGGAACCTCTTCTCCCAGCCCTGTTCCTGGACCCCCGCAGGCAGGGCTGCAACACCTCCATTTGAGCCTCTTTAGGTCTCCTGGCATTTGATTATCTGCCACTTTGCCTGGCCCTCCATTACCTCCTTTCTGTCTGCGCCTTGTTAAGACAAGGACTCAGTTGACTGTCATTCCAAACCAGTCAGGCGCCATCAGGTCTTCCAATATGGACTAAGACCCTGCAGAGGCCCAGGCTGTGTTCGGAACTGTTGAAGTCTCTGCTCCAACGCCAATGGCTCACACCAGTTCTTCAAACCTGGAAGTGCTCTCAAGAGTCCCGCACCCCACCTCCATCCCCCGAAAAGAAAGAAGCTGCTTCCACTTTGGAAACGTTTATTCTAAGAACCCGAAAGCTGGAATGGGGGAGCAGTAGCTGCGGGCGCCTCACTGGGTGTTCAGCTTCTTGGTGGCCTCGTCGACGGCGCTCCAGAAGCTCAACTTGAGGTTTTCCAGCACCGGCATCAGGCCCTGGCGGAGGTCCTCCAGCGCGGGCTTGGCCTTCTCGCTGAGCGCGCTCAGGTGCTCGGTGGCCTTGGCCTGATATTCGGCGAGGGAGGAGCCCTCCTTCAGCGCCTCGAGGCGCGCGGCCAGGCGTTGGCGAAGCTCATCGCTGTAGGGCGCCAGATGCGTGCGCAGCGCGTCCACGTGGGTGCGTGCGCGGTCACGCAGCTCCTGGCCCAGKGGGCTCAGCTTCTCATGCAGCTCCTGCAGCTTCTGGCGCGCGCCCTCGCGCAGCTCTGTGCTCAGCGGCTCCACCTGCTGGCGGTAGCGCTCCACGTCTTCTTGCCACCTCTTCTGGAACTCATCTAGGTAGGGCTGCACCTTCCGCTTCACCTCCTCCAGATCCTTGTTCATCTCCTGCCTTAGCGACACGGTGTCTTTTTCCAGTTTATCCCAGAACTCCTGAGACACTGGGCCAATCTGTTCGCGCAGCTTACTGACAGTGGAGCTCAGGGTGTCCCAGTTGTCCAGAAGCTTCAGGCTGATGTGGAAGAGAGAGGGGCTGAGGAGTGGCTTCCTGGGCAGCCTGGACTGCCCTGGATCTGCAAGCTCAGCGCCCCAGGTTACCTGGGGTGGGCTCTGGTCATCACCTGTCCCTGAACGTGCAATAGCTGTGGTCCTAGTTTTCCCACGCACTGATTCCAACATCCTGAATGCCACCCACCAAGTCGTATTGTACAGATGGCCTGAGGCACAAGGAGGAACTAGTGGGAAACAACCGGGGTTGGCATGGGTGTTGAAGGAAGGTCTTATATCTAAAGCACTGGAAGTTAGGAGGGGAAGGGGCTGGCTACATTCACAGGTGAAATGTGGTTCKGTTGCTGATTAGGTGGGCCCTTGCTGGGAGACTGTGACCCTGCCTGGGGATCTCATTCTTATTTCTCCACAAAAGACCTGCYGTGGGGCCAGCTCATCAAACAGCAGGTGAGGATGTCTGACCACAACATCTTTCCATAGGCCTCTCTGCCCCCAGGACTCCATTACTTTCCCCTGCCCCAACCCCCAGGCTGGGTCCTTACTTTAGCTGTTTTCCCAAAGCAGAGGTTTCAAATTGGGTCACATAATCTCTGCCGCTGTCTTTGACTGCATCCAAGTACACAGTGGCGAAATCCTTTATTCGATCCCATGAGGACTGGGGTTCATCTCGCTGCCAGAAATGCCGAGCCTGGCTCCCTGGAGGTGAAGGGACACCCTGGTCAGGCAGCTCTGGGTTGGGAGCTGGGCTGAAAAGCCAGGCATAGGGTGGGAGAGGGGCAAGTGAGAAATTCCACTGCATCCAGGATGGTGGGCCACTGGACTTAGGGAGAATCCCCAATCTCCCTAGGCTCGGGGCACCTACCCGTCAGGAAGAGCACGGCCACAGTCAGCACCACTGCTTTCATCCTGCAGGGTGTGGGAACCTGGAGGAGAAGAGGGGCCTGGCTGAGGGGGCCTTTTGTGTGAAGGAGTCCCGTGTTCCCCCATGTAGTCAGCCAGGGGAGGAGGAGGAGCCTAAAGTGAAGAAAGCCCCGGGTACCCAGGTCCTGCACAACACCTAGAGCTGGGGAGCCAGAGTAGTCTGGGGCAGGCACCCGCACTTACCTCCAGGAACTCTCCAGCAGTCTCTGACTGTCTAGCTCTCCCTGGTCTATTTATGCCTCCAGGTAGGGGCTGGGCTGGAAAACAGATAAGCCCAGCCAGGCCCTGTCCCTGCTCACTGGTTCTGGCGATGTGGAACTTAGAGTTCAAGGATCAGCTCTGCCCAGGAGCCAGGCAAATAGAGTGGGCAAACAGGAAGCTGCGGGGGCTGCAGGACAGAGGTCAAGGGTTCAGGCAGGGACAGGATGAGGGTGGCTGTAGGCTTGTGGGTCCCCAGGTTCGGGGCAGCAGCATCCATCATGCCCTTCCCCTCCCAGTGTGGGRGTGTGTGCATGTTACTGTGCATTGTGCCTGTAGCAGGGAGAGAGGGGAAGGGACCTGGGACTCCTCCCCTCAGGAGATCTCCCCCCCACACACACAGTCTTCTTGCATTTCAAGGATTGGTTCACACATCTGTCTGCACTGCTCCTGCCTCTCCTGCCACCAACCCTGGTTCCCTCTTTTTAGTTCCCAGGGTGCCACATACTTCTCTTCACCCTCCACAGGCTTCCTAAACCCCAAATCCAAGGGAATCTGTGGCACTAAGGAATTGTGGGAGGAGGATGCTCAGGGCCCCAGATGGAGATTTCAGAGTCCTCTGACATATCAAAATAAATGCTAGGGGCTGGGGATGTGGCCCAAGCGGTAGCGCGCTCGCCTGGCATGCGTGCGACCCGGGTTCGATCCTCAGCACCAAATACCGACAAAGATGTTGTGTCCACCGAGAACTAAAAAATAAATATTAAAAAAATTCTCTCTCTCTCTCTTTCTCTCTCTCTCTCCTCTCTCACTCTCTCTTTAAAAAAAAATAAATTAAATAAATAAATAAATGCTAGATACCAACATGAAGTTGCCAACTATTCATTTTGTCATTAAAAGATATTACCCTTGCCTTCTTTTCAAAGCCAACTTCACCATCTACCATCACTTCAAAACAGACTTTTTATCACCCAAAAAGCATAATCTCAGAATTCAAGTGTAGAATTTCAGTCATTCACACATGTACCTTTACATTGTTTGTGTTTTCATTTGATCACACACAAATGAGAGTGGCTATCAGATCTGAGAATGCCCTGTGTAGAGGAAGGACTCTTGGAGGTGGAAGCAGAGGGAGACCTGTTTTCTTTTTGTTTCATTTTGTCTGCATCTTGCTGAAGGAGGAATGTAAGCCAGTTATATAACCTCTCTGAGCTTCAGTTTCCTATCTGCAGGATGAGCTCAAGAAATGTCCAGGGAGCTGAGGCCCCTGAGAGAGGCTATAGGTGGAAGGTGTCCTGTGTCGGTTGGTGTTTGCAGCACCATCTTGCAAAGTTTCGCTAGGAAAGCCCAGGTCATGCAGCCTGTGAAAGTCCAAGCTGAGAGGAACTTTGAAACCAACTACTCCAGCCTCTCCCCACCCTGTCACCTTCCAGATGTGGAACTGAAACCAGTGGAAGGAATCAACATCTCATCTCTCCAAGAGTTAAAGGCAGGGCTGGACTTAGCACCCATKTCTCTGGACTTAGGTTCCAGGGCAGGTATGCACCCTATACCATCACCCCAGGAAACTCCCCAACTCTCTAGAAATCAGCTTGTGTTTCTGTCAGACCTGGGAGTGGCTGAGATCCAGGCCTCTCCCACTCCAGCCCCAGCTGATATCCTGCCTTTTGTCTCTTAGAAGCCTTTGGAACCAGAGACCTTAGGTTTGAATCCTGGCTCTGACACTTATTAGTCATATGACCCTGGACAAGTTACATAACCTTCCCACATCTCAGGTTCTTATCTGCTAAATGAAGATAATGATAGAACATGCCATCTCTGATTAAAGTTATAACAGGGGTCACAGTGTGCATGGTAGGCAGAATAATGGTCCTCCAAAGATGTGCGTGTCCTCCTCTCTGGAATCCGTGACTGATCGGGCATAGCAAAAGGGGTTTTGCAAGTGTGATTATGGATGGCCCAGGGTAATCACAATCGTCCTTCAATATCCAGAGGGAGGCGGCAGAGTCAGTGGCAGAGTCCGAGATATGAGGATGGAAGCGGAGGTTGGAGCAACGTGAACACTGGAAGGATGAGCCAAGAGATGCAGGCAGCCCTTCCCTAAAAGAGGYGAAGGGACAGATTTTCCCCTAGAGACTCCAGAAGGAGCACAATACCAGGGACACCATGAATTTAGCCTAGTGTGACCCCTTTGGGACTTCTGACCTCCAGATTTGTAAAATAATAAATTTGTGTTGTTCATAAGCATGAAATGTGAGCACTATGTGAAACTGTTAAGGTCACTAGCACTCAATAAATAGTAACTATTCACATCCCAGAATCCCGGGTCCTGGATTCCATCCCCTATTGCCACAAACACACTTGCATTGCCACAGAATAGYCCAGGACCTCAGCTTCTAACAGCAGAAGTCGGGAAGGCAGGGAATCCCACAGTTCTGTCTTTGGCCTTGCTTGCAGGTGCCCAGATCTCCAGGACAGAAGCTACTCCTGATGTCTGGCTATTGGCCATTCCAGCTGTCTGTGGTTTACAGAGAGGGTGGGAAACTGACTTCCCACCCAGTGTGGGCAGCCACTGGATCTCAAGCCAAGAGATGTTCCTTTCTTAGGATGGGGGTTGATTTCATCCCAGCCAGCATGTGGGGGGTCTGAGAAGCTTATCAATTGGACTCCAAGCTATCTGCTACTGTTTTATCCTTCTCTTGGTTTATTACTGAAATTATTATGGTTAAACCTAATATTTAATATCTGCACAGTTCTTTTGTGGCCAAAGCACTTCCACAGTTAACGTATGTCCCCATGAGGCTGGACACTATAGCTTCTCCTTACCATTGTGCCTGTCAGAAAACTGCAGCTAAGAGCTCAGAGGTGCCTGGACTTCTTCAGCTGAGAACTGTGTGATGCAGGGCTGGGAATCAGGAGCCTTGGCTTCTTGTTCTTTGATGGGGGCCTATTGGCTTATGTAGCCCTAGGACTCTTCAGGGATGTTCTTGGCTTGGGGATTCCAGGGCATCAGCAGAGGTAGGGAGCTGTGGGACAGCACCTCACTAAGCAAGAAGTTTCCTTGTTGAAACTATTTATTCACTGGTGTCTGCTCCATTTCACTGCAAGTCACAGGCTTAAATGAGTCTAGATACCTCTTTACTATTTGGGAAAGGAAGGACATCTTTCTGGACAGAGGCCYACGGAAAAACTAACAAATTGGTCTTATCACAGAATCTGGGTCCAGTGACAGTAGGAATTTCAAGAGCCTGGGGATAGACTGGCTTAGTGGATGCRGGGCCTCTCACCATTCATTGGTCCTTATTCCCACCATCCTCTTCCCTCCTGTTGGGACCATTGCTGAAGTGGCAGGCCCTGGACCCCTTGCCATGTGTGGGAGAGCTGGCACCTGCTGCAGGGGTGATTCTGCTCAGAATGACTGGCAACCCATTTCACAATATATGACCCAACATACTGATCAGTCTGCATGGGAGAGGACTCTGTCCCTTGCTAGGCCTGGCACCTAACAGACACTCGCCAACCATTTGCTCAATGTGTGACACTGGCACACTAAATGAAGTTTCACCAGATTGGCAAAGGGTCATATGAAGGAGCAGACCCAGAGCAGGAAGACTCAAGAAATGAGCACTCAGCCTTGTGGCGGGCCCTGCCCAGAACACACGCGTGACCACACAATGGTTTGGGCTAAGATCGGGGAGCTAGGATTGGGGAGGTTCTGCTTGAGCAGGGGAGAGGACCCCAACCCCCACACATCCTACTGGATAATTTTGTCACAGCTCTTGTGATAGAACCCCAAGGTGGACTCTAGGACATCTTTGAATACCCAACTCTGCCCGATCTTCCTGCCCAGGAAGAGGCCATCACAGCTCATCTTTGACCAGCATGAGGAAGCACAGCAGCCCCTGGAATTCTTATCTTTGTAGGCAGAGTGGGGTGGGACCTGGCACAAAGTCAGAAAGGGGATCTTGTAAGGAGACGTCAGCACAGTTTCCATTTTGCAGAACGCAGAGATCTCCAGTGCCCTGCTTCAGCACCCAGGGAAAAAGGTGTACAAGTTTTTGAGAGAAATCTGGGCGTATCACAGTTTGGTTCCAGAGATTCACCTTTCCCTGCATGTGGTGTGTAGACTTGGGACCTCCAAAAGACTCTGAGAAGGCCCTTGCTGTTCTGATCAGGCCCACAGCAACTTACTAGTCCCCCATGGGCTGTCAAGTTTTCATAAGYTACCTCCACTTGTTCTTTTTACAATCTTAGTAATTCCAGTTTCAGAAAGCTTTGTTCATAGAAGACCTCCAACCAGCTCCCTGGGACCTCACTGGGAATTCTATCCTACTCCTTGGAGTTCAGGTGTGGAGAAAGGGAAAATGTAGGAAAAGTCCCCTTTACCATACTTATACCACTTACTTTGGCTATCATGTCACCAAGCTGATTGGGTTTGCCCCATACGACTCCAGCCATGGCCAACATCTTTGAGTTCCCTCTTCTCCTCCTTCACAAGTATCCTTTCAAGGAATTTGTTTTCCATCTACTCAGCAATACCAGTGCTCCCAGTGGAAGGAGTGAAGTCCAAGCCGCAGCTGAGTTCGGTTTCTAGAGAATGCTAGGTCCATAAGGCAAGGCAGACGCTGCTCACGGCCCCACCCCAAGCTTGGCAGACTTCTCCCACCCTGAGTCTTCCAGCTTTCACAATGACCCCCCCACCCCCAATGCTTCTCTCAACTAGACTCTGAACCACAAGGCAAATAACATATCAGGATTAGAACATAATCAGGTTTTTATTTTCACAACCTCCTACTGTCCAACCAAGTTACTAAGTTGTAAATGCCCCACACAAACAAGGACAAAAGGTCTTAGCAACTTGAGTCTGGAGATTTTTTTTTTTAAATCCTTTTTTAGTTTAACATAAATGAGAAAGAAAAAATACTTCTGACATTTTTGAAGAACAGAAATAGGAAAGTATATTCATATACATTCAACATATACTGCGCATATTGGTTACTACAATACAAAGCAATGATGTCTTTAAAAGTG